ACAACAACAAACAACAATAATAAAATAAGTAATGATAATAATAAATACTAGTACTGTTAAAACAAATGATGATAAAGTTTGGCATAATGAAAGTACATCATGGCAGAGCAGTTTTCGTCATTGTACTGTGTGAGGTGACAGGTGTTCAAAGTGACTCAGCCTACACACATGACAGAATGTGCTGGTGGAAATGCTGTATCTAGATATTGATATTCAATGAACTAATCATTTGATTGACACATGATGTTAGCGTTGTGACACTTATGAGAAGTGATGATGGTTGTCATCACCATAACAGGTTGGATTATTTCAAAAACAATATAAAGGATCTTCAAAGTGCAAAGTTTAAGTTTTTGAGTGTGGCATGTCATGTAATTGCTTACTGTGGCAGTGAATTAATTATTATGTGCAAAAGGAGGCGTCTGTGAGCTGTGGCTCGCCTACGCCTCGCATTTTGCATGTTGAGAAGCATGAGAGAGCTTGCAGACATGTTGCTGGTGGGTAGAGTGGCCAGCTTCATTTTTGGGCAATTTCAATAGTCACAGGTGCGTTCAGATTTTGGTGCAGTACCTCTGCTCTGCCAGCAGCTGGAGTGCCTACGAAAGCACCCCATCTGCTGGAAAGCACCCCATCTGCTGGCTTGACAGTATGCCAGTGGGCCTTTCGGACGCAGCCTGAGACTTGTGACGTACCCTATACAAAGAGCATGGATACCAAGAGGCGAAGCTCCGTTGAATTTCTGCCAACAGCCACTAGGGGCGCTAATTTCTGCCAACAGCCACTAGGGGCGCTAATGTTGGACTGTTGCGCCCAGACAACATGCAAGATGTCAAGGAGAGAGGAGAAAAAAGTAAAAGAAAACAGTGTAGTGCAATTAACTGCAACAACTATCAGTGGAACACCCCGCACCTGGCCTTCCACCGTTTCCCGAAGGATCCCGACAGAGGTGTACGTTTTAAAGTGTTTTAATATCAATTTAATATGCCAGTTTTCGTGGGAAGATATATGTATATATAGGCCTATATATGGCCTCTTGGACCATTTATATCAGAACTGATTACTGCTTTAGCATTAAAATATATCATATAAAATAGCTTATATATTATTATTATTATGACTGTCCCCTTACTGTACAAACTGTAAATAAATCTTTATTCCTGACTATGTGTTTCTAGTTAAAATATTGATTTTTTTATTATTTATTTTTTTGGTAGATTGGCTTATGGGGTGATTTTGAAGGAGTAATTAAGTTAATCTTCTCATAAGTGGATGTAATATGTAGAGATGCCATCTAGGCCGTTTTTCCTCGTTTTGTTTTTTTTAAAGTCTATATTTTGCTTTACAAAAACGTGAAAAAGCAGCTGTGACCAAGCTATCACGAGGTGAGTAGCATTGTAAGCATAATTAATAGCGATATACTTAAGTTTGTCTGTGTGTTTTTGTATGCAAGCGGGTCTGCTGCGGTCTGCTGACGGTCCAAAATGGCGGCGGTAGGACGAAACCATGGGGGAATTTGTTGCTATGGGGCGTTCTATTGAGCTTCGCCTCTTGGTATCCATGCTCTTTGCCCTATATGATCTCGAACGAGCCTGTTGGCGCACCCAAATGACGTCTTAGCATGCGACGGTGAAGAGTTGAAGGACCCCGCAGTGCACATGCCAAACGTACAGTAACACTAGTGACACGGGCGTTTGATCCTTTCGCTGGAAACACCTTGATGGTGGGTAGAATCGTTACTTACGCATTAAACAGGCAAGTAGGTTAATTGTGGTCTGAAAGCTAATGTCTAAAGATGTCTTTTAAGCTTAATATAACGTTAGCTTATGGTAACTGCTGTAGAATTGGTCCAGTTCTTCTCACTTGCTGAAATGACGTGCTTCCTTAAATTTTGTGCAGTTTGTTTTGCTTTAAATTGTTACATACAATTCCATGGTAATATTCTAATTGTATTTTGAAGGTAGATCCGATGGTGCCCCTTAGCATCTTGTAAACCAAAAGCCTCTGGCCACGATCATGCAGAAAACAATTTAGCAGCTGGAGGTGGCTTTTTGTAATTGTTTTTTAATGAGAATCAGTCTTTTTGCTCGCTGTTTTTGCATTGCTCGCTGTTTTTGCGTTGCTACGCGCCTCGCGTTTCTGCAGTCTAGGCGTCAAGTGGTATTAAATTAAAAGAAAAGGCAGTGCGGTGTTCCTTCAGTTTTGCAACCTGCAAAACGCTTTCTGTGTGATTGGGGCTTCAAGGGACTGTTTATTACTTATGAGGGGGGATTGGGGGTGCAAAATAGGGGAGGCATGTCATACTTTTTAAAGCTTTGGGAAGGGACTTGTGATTTTTATGTTAGCTTAGGGAAGGGACGTACAACTTTAAAAGGCTGTATTTTGCATTTATTTTATTGCCAAATTTTTAAAGAAAATTTTCATGGGTTTGGAAGGTACGTTTTCTTTTTAAAAAATGCTGAAATCACATAATTTTTCAAAGCCAAAGGATGTAAAAACAGAAATTATAATTGGATTTTCTAATTTTCGATGGTCCTTGGACACGTCATATGTATGTCCAAGGACCATCGGATCCATGATAACATCGGCATGTCATTGGTATTGGCCGATGTCAGCTTTAAAATGACCTCAGATTTGGCCAACATGCTTTTTATTATTTTGCACAATTAATGAATATTACATACATTGAAGAGCATTTTATTTTATGTCTCCATCTGCTGGTGGGCCATCATGATAAGAGTAATATGACGTTGATTCCACTACAGTAGAGACTTGAAGATCACATCAGGTTGGGGGAAAAGTGGATCAGTTATCAGCCAAATAAGTTGTAATATCGAGATATCAGATATGAGCACGTAATCTAATATTGTGCATCCCTATATAAAATACTGATCTTTCATCAAAATCATTTTAATCTACATCTCGTGTAAAGTTTGGCCAAACATTAATTGTTTGCATGAAGTAACCAACATGCAAGAGTGAAAAACCAAAGCTTTTTTCAACTCCAGGAGTTTGTCTTCAACTTTTAACTTTCAAACATAAAAGAATAAGTTTTAAAAATCTAACTAATTTATCGCACTTTAAAAACCGTTAGGGTTGCTGTGAAATTGCACCTTCTTGGGGCAACAAAAAAGTTTGTCTTGGGGTGCATCGGTACAATAAACAAACTAGAAAGGACGGCAGAGGAGATGCAAAAAAGTCTGTTTGTATAAGACATCTGTGCACAAAAAAGGTGCTCAAAGGGCAAAAAAAATTCTAAAGAGTGAGTAAAAACAACTCACCGACCACTTTATAAGGTATACCTTTCTAGTATGGATTGGACCCCCTTTTGCCTTCAGAACTGCCTTCATTCTTCATGGCATAGATTCAACAAAGCTCTGGAAACATTCCTCAGAGATTTTGGTCAATATTGACATGATAGCATCATGCAGTTTCTGCAGATTTGTCGGCTGTACATCCATGATGGGAATCTCTGGTTCCACCACATCCCAAAGGTGCTCTATTGGCTTGAGATCTGGTGACTGTGGAGGCCACTGGAGTACAGGAAACTCATTGTCATGTTCAAGAAACCAGTTTGAGATGATTTCAGCTTTGTGACATGGGGCGTTATCCTGCTGGAAGTACCAATCAGAAGATGGGTACGCTGTGGTCATTAAAGGGAAATTTCGGTATATTTCAACCTGTCTCCTATCGTCCTAAATTTGTTTCAAGTCACTAGTGACATAGAAATAATAGTTAGCATGATAACCATTAACCTAGATACAGCCATAGAGTCAGAACTGATAAAACATAATTGAAAGGGCATCCTTTCAAATGCAAAGTTAGTCCACTAAACAAGCTTTTTCTCCACAAAGACCGCCTCATATCGTTAGGATAAATGTCAGAGAACATATAGAAAACGACATGTAAACGTGTTGTCTTATCTTACCGATGTGCTGCCATGTTTGTTGTTTACCATTTAGCTAAGGCTGTAACCGGTCCCATTCCTTGCAACAGAGGTATTCCTGTTCTGTGGGCATTGGGGTACAGCAATCACAGGTAACTTTACACCACCGATCTCCAGAGCTAAATCCTTTCAGCAGCCATTCCTCCTCTGTCGTCCTCTAACATTACCTGTTGTGCCTCTCTCTCTCCTCCTCCGTTATTCAGTTTCACGAAGCTCTTCGTCAGTGTATTCTGGCTCAAATAAATAAGGGCGGCCATCGCCTCTCAATGTGGAAAGCCTATATACTAACATTCCACATTTAGGTGGTCTTCAGAGTTGTTGTCTTACCTTACGGTGTTTACAGTTTATCTCTGCTTTCCAAAGCGCGGCCGAAATACCGCGAGAACAAGCAGCGATCTCATGCCGTGCCTGAAATCTCGCGAGAACAAGCCGCAGCAGCTGCAAGGCAGAACCGGACAGTAGCCTGAAAGGTTTATTCATTTATTTTATTAAAGATTTATAGAATAATGGCTGACTTTTTGCCAGACTTCGACTTTGTGGAGGAGGAATTTGATTTTGCAGAGTTTTATGGCCGCCCTTTATTTGAGCCAGAATACACTGACAAAGAACTTCTTGAAATTGAAGAACAGAGGAGGAGAGAGAGAGAGGCACAACAGTTAGAGGACGACAGAGGAGGAATGGCTGCTGCAAGGCTTTAGCTCTGGAGATCGGTGGTGTAACGTTACCTGTGAATGCTGTACCCCAATGCCCACAGAAGAGGAATACCTCTGTTGCAAGGAATGGGACCGGTTGCAGCCTTAGCTAAATGGTAAACAACAAACATGGCAGCACACTGGTAAGGTAAGACAACACGTTTACATGTCGTTTTCTATATGTTCTCTGACATTTATCCTAACGATATGAGGCGGTCTTTGTGGAGAAAAAGCTTGTTTAGTGGACTAACTTTGCACTTGAAAGGATGCCCGTTCAATTAAGTTTTAACAGGTCTGACGCTACGGCTGTATCTAGGCTAACGGCTAACATGCTAACTATTATTTCTATGTCACTAGTGACTTGAAACAAATTTAGGACGATAGGAGGCAGGTTGAAATAAACCGAAATTTCCCTTTAAGTGATAGGCACAGTCAGCAACAATACTCAGGTAGGCATTTAAACGATGCTCAGTTGGTACTAAGGGGCCCAAAGTGTGCCAAAAAAAAATATCGGCCACACCATAATACCACCACCACCAGCCTGAACCATTGATACAAGGCAGAATGGATCCATGCTTTCATGTTGTTCACCCCAAATTCTGACTGTACCATCTGAAAGTTTCAGCAGAAATTGAGATTCATCAGACCAGGCAGTGTTTCTTTTCAGTCATCTATTAGTCTCGCTCACCAGACCTTTCTCAAGAAAAGAAAGGTCTGGCTGGGCCGACTCTCACTTTAAGATTGGAGAAAAAAACGCCCCGGCCGCTTGTATTTCTTTCAACCAATCAAAATCGTTCTTGGCGGTGCCACAGCAACGGTGCGCTTGCAAAAATATTGCCGGGGGGAAACAGGTTTTGGTGTAACACGCCCGCAAAAATATCGCCTACAGGACGCGAACCATGGCAGAAAAATGGCTACATCCCCGCAAGATCAAACACCGCAAAAGTTAGTAAAGGACGTGTTGAAAATTGCAACCGGAGGTGGTAGGGCGGGACTTCAGCAGGTGGCTCGTTCCGCCCAATGAGAGGCTGATCTTTCCAGCGAACTTCCACCCACTCAGACTAGTCATCTATAGACCAATCTTTTTTGTGGACATCACAGTTGTGTCACAGCAGTTACACGCGCATACTGGTGACAGCAAAACAGCAGACACCTATGAAAAACAGTTGAGAAACCCGGAATAAAAATGTCTTCTTGTGCTGCTGGATGTCATAACAGGAATACAAAAAAAGATAACCCCCATTTTTATTGAAAACCGTCGTTGAGGACGTAGTTTTTCCACAAGGTACATGAAGATGTCTTGCCGCTGTAAAGTTGACCATCGACATCTACACATACATACATACATATATACAGATGTACATTATGATCTAGGTGTAGTAGAATATAAAGTTTTGTCTCCAGTTAATTACAATCTCGATATTCAGGCTCTAATCGCTGTTGGATGCTCAGTAGAGGAGTGTGTGTTTAGCTTACATGAGCTGAAGTACTGACATGGTGAAAGATAATTCATCATCATAAGGAACTGTAAAAACTCAAGATTGTCAAGCATGGGTTTGTCTTATTGTTCAATCAATCAATTTTATTTATAAAGCCCAGTATCACAAATCACAATTTGCCTCACAGGGCTTTACAGCATATGACATCCCTCTGTCCTTAGGACCCTCACAGCGGATAAGGAAAAACTCCCCAAAAAAAACCCTTTAACGGGGGAAAAAAACGGTAGAAACCTCAGGAAGAGCAACTGAGGAGGGATCCCACTTCCAGGACGGACAGACGTGCAATAGATGTCGTACAGAACAGATCAGCATAATAAATTAACAGTAATCCGTATGACACAATGAGACAGAAAAAGCGAGAGAGAGAGAGAGAGAGACAGGACAGACGATAATGACAGTAGCTTACAACAACATTAATGAAAGTAATAATATTATAATTATAGTTCTGGCTACTGTGATACAATATGTTGAAAGTATATATTAATATCTGAAAGTATACATATGTGACAATAATCATATGTGTATAATAACAGTAGAAGTATGACTAATGATGACAGCAGCAGCTCCTGTTCCTGTTTAATACTTGTGGAGACGTCCCCATATAATTAAGCAATATCA